AGTAACATAATGGATATGTATGGTGTCATGAAGTTTCTGGTCTGGAGTAGTAGAGGGAGGTAGAGCTAGAGTTAGCTGTGAAGCAGTTCAAGGTTCTCCTCCACTTCTCTTCTCATGGTCTAACATTAACCAGACCAGTCAACATATCCTTATATCCCAGGTATACCAGGAGTAATATATCCTTATATCCCAGGTATACCAGGAGTAATATATCCTTATATCATAGGTATACCAGGAGTAATATATCCTTATATACCAGGTATACCAGGAGTAATATATCCTTATATCCCAGGTATACCAGGAGTAATATATCCTTATATCCCAGGTATACCAGGAGTAATATATCCTTATATCCTAGGTATACCAGGAGTAATATATCCTTATATACCAGGTATACCAGGAGTAATATATCCTTATATACCAGGTATACCAGGATTAATATATCCTTATATCCAAGGTTTACCAGTAGTAATATATCCTTATATCTTCCTGTAGGTATACCAGGAGTAATATATCCTAGTATCCCAGATATACCAGGAGTAATATATCCTTATATCCAAGGTTTACCAGGAGTAATATATCCTTATATCTTCCTGTATGTATACCATGAGTAATATATCCTAGTATCCCAGGTTTACCAGGAGAAATATATCCTTATAGCCCAAGTATTCCAGAAGTAATATATTCTTACATCTTCCCAGGTACACCAGGAGTTATATATCCTTATATCCCAGGTATACCAGAAGTTATATATCCTTATATCCCAGGTATACCAGGAGTAATATATACTTATATTCCATGTATACCATGATTCATGTATACTTATATCCTGGTATACCAGGAGTAATATATCCGTATATTCCAGGTATACAAGTAGTAATATATCCCAATATTCTTGTATACAAGGAATAATATATCCTTATATCCTAGGTATACCAGGAAAAATATATCCCAATATCCTTGTATACAGGGAGTAATATATCCTTATATTCCAGGTAAACCGGGAGTAATATATCCTTATATCCCAGGTATACCAGGAGAAATATATCCTTATATCCCAGGTTTACCAGGAGAAATATATCCTTATATCCCAAGTATTCCAGAAGTAATATATACTTATATCTTCCCTGCATGTACTCCAGGATATCCTTATATCCCGGGTATACCAAAAGTAATATATTTTTATATCTTCCCAGGTATACCAGGAGTTATATATCCTTTTATCCTTATAATGTTTTACATTATGAAAAGTTAATAACTTGATCATTCAAGGTTTTTTATTTAATTTCAAATATTATAGGGTGAGGATGGTTTTAGCTCAACCCTGTCTATTCCTGTGGTTTCCAGATCAGATGCTGGATTATATACATGTACAGTGAACAACTCTGCTGGATCAACTCAGTACACAACAGTTCTTACAGTTAATTGTAAGTATCCTTCCTTCCTTCCTTCCTTCCTTTCTTCCTTCTTTCCTTCCTTCCTTCCTTCCTTCCTTCCTTCCTTCCTTCTACAAAACGTAAATAAAAGTTTTGAAATGTTCTCTTCTGCTCAGCAGTGTGAAAAATTAAATAACTAGAGCAAGGTCTAATCCCCTCATATTTTGTTTCTAACATACTTTTCCCTTGTAAATATTTGAATACCAACCATGGCAAGAACTTCCAGGGATTGCGCATTTCCACTCTGAGCATATATTTTACTACAAAGTTCTTGTCATTTAATATAAGATGTATCATTAGGATGATATTACAGGGACTAGGGCGGGTTCAGATCTTCAACTAGATTTATTCTTGTATTGAGAAAAGTTTGGTAGAGAGAAGGTTTGTTGATTCTACAGAGTTGCAGACATTACAGATCTATTACGATTTAGGTTCATCCATCAATCAATCACATCAATCTAAATCTTCCAACCCAATCTACAGTACTCCCATTCATTTTTTCATGCCTCGATATCAGACTCTCTATGAGGTGCATTCTCAGTATTCTCTTCATTTTTAGTTTTCTCCTATGTCCCTGGTTCTCACCTTTCTATCCCCTCTATGTCCCTGGCTCTCTACTATCTATCCCCTCCATGTTCCTGGTTCTCTACTATCTATCTCCTCCCTGTCCCTGGTTCTCTACTTTATATCCCCTCTATGTCCATGGTTCTCTACTATCTATCCCCTCCATGTCCCTGGTTCTCTACTATCTATCTCCTCTATGTCTCTGGTTCTCTACTACCTATTCCCTCTATGTCCCTGGTTCTCTTCTATCTATCCTCTCCATGTCCCTGGCTCTCTTCTATCTATCTTCTCTATGGCCTTGGTTCTCTACTATCTATATCCTCTATGCCCATGGTTCTCTACTTTATATCCCCTATATGTCCCTAGTTCTCTTTTATCTATCCCCTCCATGTCCCTGGTTCTCTACTATCTATCCATTCTATGTCCCTGGTTCTCCACTATCTATCCCCTTGATGTCCCTGGTTCTCTACTATCTGTCCCCTCTATGTCCCTGGTTTCTACTATCTATCCCCTCTATGTCCCTGGTTCTCTACTATCTATCCTCTCTATGTCCCTGGTTCTCTACTATCTATCCCCTCTATGGTTATGGTACTCTGCTCTGTCCCTCCTAGAATATAATCAGGAAGATTTAGTATGTGTTTCATCTTTTCTAGTTTCGGAAAATCTGTAGAAATCTGGAAACTGAATGGAAGGCAATTTACACTAGGTTTGGCGAGCTCAAATCTTTGCATAAAATAGATTTATGTTTGTTATCTTGAACCAATGAAAAAAATACATTTTTTAGAGGGTTGAACAGAGCAACGTAGACAATCACTTTTTATTTCTGAACTTTCATGAATTTGTTGAAGAGGTTCACAGGATAAAAAAATGAAAGGAAACAGCATATTCTAAACATCTTGATCCCTTGAAAGAGAAATCTTAATTTTGAATTTTAGAAGGCCTAGTTAACAGTAGGAAAATGCAGAGGAGGAAAGGACTGAAAGGAAGGAAGGAAAGAAAGGGAAAAGGAAGGAAAGGAAAACAAGGAAAAGATGGGTAGGAAAAAGAGAAATAAGGAAAGAAGGGATGAGAACAGAGAAAAGGGAGGAAAGGATGCAAGGTAACGAAAGGAAAGAAAAGGAATGAAATGAAAAAAAGGAAAAGAAGGAAAGGAAGGAAAGGATGAAAGAAAGGAAAGAAGGATAGGAAAAAATGTAAAAAGAGAAAAGAAGAAAGGAGAACGAAGGAAAGGAAGAGAATAGAAGAAAGGACGGAGAGAATGGAAAAGAAAAGAAAAGGAAGAAAAGGAAAGGAAGGGAATAAGAGAGTAAGCAAAGGAGGGAAAAGAGTGCATATTGGAAAAATAACTTTTCCTGTATTCATCGGGGCTTTAGAAGCTGTAAATGTAATTTGAATATTTTTAAACTTGACAAGGATGATTCATGTCTAGAATATTCGGCACAAGTATTCAAATCAAAAAATTCAGATTTTTCTTTTTTCAGGATAATCCAGGTTCATGTTTTCATGATGCTTCAGTTTAAACCATGTACAATTAACCAAGTTTAAAGATATATTAGAAACTACCATTTAGAGTTTTATTGTAGACTTTTGATATTTCTTAATTCCTGTTATGTTCATATAGCCTTAATGGTTTGCACCATCAGGTTGCAATATAGGGATCATATCCCAGAATTTGTGGCAAAAACTCAGTTCCTTTTTATCCACATAAAAATGACTCATTTAAGTTCAAAATTAGGATTTCTAGAATTTTGATTCTTTTACTAGTATCGTGATATATGGATTAAAATATTATATTTTGTAGAAAAACCCAGTTCCTGATAAATGTTTAGATTCCCCGGAGTGGGTTGCACCACCTCAAGACTCCAGGGTTACCCTTGGATCCCGTCTAGTCCTAGACTGCAGGGTGAGAGGAGAACCTAAACCTGAGATAGAATGGACCCGGAGAGGAGCTGTATTGAACCCTGTGACCTGGGATGGATACAAGTAAATATATATTATCCTATTATCAATCCTTTGTAACAGAGAGCCGGGGAATGGGTCGGATAAATGAATTGCGGGGAAATACGAAAAGATTAAATATTTGTAACTTTCTTAATGGAATTATTACACATTTTA